TGATCAAACTGCACAATAATTTCTCACAAGGACTGCAGAGACACTCAAAACATTAAATACAAAGACGTCCTTTAGAAAATGACATGGTAACCATAACAATCACAACGATTGCCACCTCACCTCCCCGTAACATTCAACAGTACATCGACACCTTTCCCCACTATTTTAACACCGTGCGGAGCACGGGTATATGCTAGTGTAATATTATTTGGTATCTTTAAAATCATGCAATTTTCACCTTAGTGTAGGTTATTTCTGTTGCTTACCTTTGCATAAATACTTCCAATGCTTTCAATAGTATTGTACTATGAAGCATGAAGAATAAAATATTCTAAGCAGAACCCGTTTAGGTTAGGTTAGGTTTATTGATGTTATCCTCATCTTATTAGTTTTTGATTTTCGTATTGTAACTACAGGTTAATCTTATTTTGAATTAGAAGTTTCGCTAAACAATAAAAAATTTGAGAAAAACAAAATCGCTTTAGCTTAAAGAACACCTGTACAGCGTTAACCAAAGTATTTGAGTTACAATTAAAAAAAAATCAATTTGTGATGTTATATTAGAGAGTAGCAAGCAATAGAAATACAGACAGACATAGATTGTTCGTCTATCCATTTAACTGAAATGGCAATTATGTATCGCATCTTTTGTTTGAAAAAAAAACATGGACCTATTTATCATTTATTATTATTATCATCATCGTCATCATCATTATTTGAGTGCCTCTTTTTGACATTGTGTCATTAGACTTTGAAATAAGCTTAATTAAATAATAAACATTATTGGTACTGTTATTATCGTTGTTGTCATTTGTTATTTTTTTCATCATCATCATCATCACCACCACCAACATCACCATCACCGTCATCATCATCGCCATCATCACCATACCATCACCATCATCATCATCATCATCATCATCATTGTATCATCATCGTTAAAATTATCCTCTTCTTTATATATGTTAATACGCTTTACGTTTTCCTAAAAACACTCAGCAAGCACAATAATCAACATTATCCAATCCTTCGGATTTTCATTTCTGAAAATATGAACTGTAGCCTGCTGCTCATGGTACCTGCGTCCTGCCACGATATCCCGTGACTTACACTCATGCTTAGTTTTATTGGGGAAAACACGCCGTTCAGACGAGCCGCGAAACAGTTTCTAAACCACCATGCACCTGTAAATTCTATAGCGCAGTTCGAACCAAGCCTATTATCATTATCTTCATCTTTTGTTGTGAAGTGAAAGTTCCCATGGACACTCAGCGCATCACCTAAAATAACAAACAGTTCGTAAGATTATTGTATATAACGAATTAGTTAGGTCGCGAGGTCGCGATTCTAAGCTGAATATATTCCGTAATAACGAATTACTAATTCGTAATTACGGATTACTAATTCGTAATTACGAATTAGTAATCCGTTATTACGAATTAACTAATTCGTTATTACGAAATAGTAATCCGTAATTACGAATAAGTAATTCGTTATTACGGATTACTGAACATATACGGTACTTTATTGGCATTAATGGGCTTTCGTAGATTTTAAGATTTTTCTTGCAAAAATTGTTTTTTTTTTCAACGAATTTTGTTGATGAAGGATAATGCTGAATTTAATGTAATTGCCATATCTGCAAATACTGTATCTGCCGCAGTTAGATTTTAAAATTGTCACTATCATTATTATTATTATTATTATTATTATTATTATTATTATTATTATTATTATTATTATTATTATATTTTAAGGTGGTGGTGGGGGGAGAAACATTAAGTTACTGACTGCAAGGGCTGTAGTAGTAATTGCTATAATTTGCAACATAAAATCATCATTATTTTAATCATTCTAACACTAACAGACCATTCACTTCGGCCTATATATTTATGTAGGCCCCTATTTGTTTATGTTCTTGTTTACTGCTATTTTTTTAAATTTCCAACCGTACTGCCAATAATTTACCACCTATACTAAATCATGAAATTGGGCACACTACACCACTCATATATGCGCCACCTCCAACCTACACATGTAAACCGTAATGGGATTGTTGGGTATTGTACCAGAACCAGATTAACCGTAGGTTCTCACACAGATTGAGAAGTTTATTGCAGAGTATTCAACCGACCTGAAGAAAAATAGTTTGAGGGAAGGGCGTTTTTCTACTAAGAAATATGTTTGTAAAAATCCGAAGATTACCAAAATAAAAAATTTTAAGTTATAACGTTGCACTTTGGTATTTCAAACATTTTGTTTCTACAACCAAAAAGTATAGAACTGCAAGAAATCCGACTTTCATACTTATGTGTTTTGTTTATGACAATTTAACAAAACCTTCAACAACGTCCGTGAATGTCACAATGAGTTTAAGTTCTGTGTTTTGTGGTCAGCATGGTTCTGGTTTGGTTCTAGGTAAAGCCACAATGCCAATACTAACATAGAACTCAACAAAGACTTCTTAGAAACGAAGTAGGTACAAGTCTATTGCAGAGGAACCAACAGCATTGTATTATCAACGCTTGATAGGTAACGCCATAGTAGTGACCAAAATAGGCAGAAACGTAAAAGTAATATGACTTGTATACAAGGTGATAAACAAACTACTTTCTTATTTTCAGAGAACATTCTTAATTATAATTATAAAACTACTGGTTGATAAATTGGGAAATATCAGTGGCGGCGCTAGGATTTCCCCGACGGCAGGACAACTCCCCCGACAGGCAGGACAAGAGTACTTTGGCGCGTTGCTCCATCCGAGGGCCGTAGGTCCGAGCTGTGGAGGGTTTAGAAGGGAGTGTCCTCTCTGCATTGAGAACAGTTTTAAAAGTAATAAGCCGCTAGTATGATCAACGTAAACATAAACAAAAATGTAGAAACGTGATTTGGAATATAAAGAAAGTAGAATTTATGGTGTACGAAGACAATCTCGAGAATGTTTTAAGGAGTGGATAACAAATTAGATTATGATGGGAATGGTTGGGGATCTTGGAAAAATATATATTATTCATAGTGAACGAAAACCAACAAGAAATTCAGTGGAGCTCGTTCATAAAATGGTGGCCCATCAAATAAAATCAATTGTTTATTTTTTTTTTTATTATTTAAACATTTATGACCGTCTTAACAAATTAAAAATTATAAAATGAAGTTCAAACTGAAATTCTATATTAATATTTAAAAAAAAAGAAAGTCCTAATTATAAAGTTTTTGGGTATCACTCAGATATTCAAATATTAAATCTTCTACTTACTGTATTAACTTGCCTTATTCAAATAACATTGTTACAAATATATATGGAATATAAGTAGAAAGATAGGAAGGTAGAAGTATAACCCATAACTCGCAGCATCATTGTGCTGAATTGAGTTTTGGCCTTGTCCGTGCTACCTAGCCGCCGTAAGAGGCACTTGCCTAAAATATTAACTACCGATGTTTACAACTTCAACGAGGGACTGAAATGAACCATAGCACCAGGATAACACCCAATTTTCCCGAATGATGCAATTGGTTCTTTAAACTGCACACGAGCCAGAAGTGTACACTTGACCTTTATTTTGTGCTCTTATCCAAAACGACCTGATTCACAAGCCAAAAACTGGGCAAGGAGCGGCTTGAACCATCGCCGATGTTAAGGCTGTAGGTAGCGGCGCCCCTAAACTATAAGGAATTACACATTTAATAGTAACACATATTTGACAGGTTTCTTTTGTTTATGATCAAATACGAAGTGGCCTGAGACCGATGTCTCAGTTTA